TTGGAGGGAAGAGCACTATGCAGAAAACTACAAGGGAAAAGGACAGGAATGTATATATATACATATATAAATATAAACATATATTTTTACATATATATACATATATATACATATATTAGATATGTATATAGACATATATAAATGTGATTTCTCAATGGAAAGAGGCTACCAGCAGATCTGTGCTGTTTCACTCAGATCTCAGAGACCTGTAAAAGGCAATGAAGATCAGGTTGACAGATTTTTAGTGGCATCACACTGCTCAGAACAGCAAAAATCAGGACTGATTGCAAAGAGCTGTCCAGGGACTGGCAGTGCTGAGTGATCAGGCACGATGGTGGCACAGGAAATCACACGATGGAAAGGGAACTCCACGGGGGAGACAAATCATCTCAGCTTTACACAGAGAGTTACGAGCTCTGGGAGCTTCCATTCACAAAAGAAATGCTGGAATTACTCTCACTGGTTCCCAGCGGAAGAAAGGAAACAAAAAAATGGCTGGAACTACTGAGAAGGTAAGAAAAAATAAACCAGGCAAGAGACTGCTGCTGTAAAATCCTATTTGTGGGATCACACCTTGAYTCCTGGGGCAAGCTTTGATCTTGCCACCACAAAAATGCCACATATTTAATGATCAGCACAACGTAAAGAGCACTTGGGTAGTAAGTGGTTTTCTTGGGTATGTGTGGTTTTCCCTCCTGAGCAGAAATTCCCAATTGAAATAAGACACCTAAAACTTCTCTCCTTGTCATCCATGAGTCTCAAAGTGAGGGCAGATAATTCTYAAATAGGTAATTTTTAAATAGATAATCATTAAGGTTGCTTTATTGCTGGGCAAATGGAGCTTTGAGCAGCAATTTAACTTATTCAAAAGGAAACAGCTGATGAAGGCARGGCAGAAGTAAACTCCAGATCGTCCCACCAGGCTCATGCACCCACTCATGCCAGCAGCAAATTGGTTGTGGTGAATTATTTTCAACTAGACACAAAAAACCCAGAGGTTGCAAAACTGTCCAGTTCTTAAGCATAGGAGGGAGAACAACAACAACAACAAAAATCTATTAAAGTTGACTGAAAGGTTTGGGCGGAAAAAAAATTGATCAGCCTGTTTGAAAAATTACAAATTTATACAATCAGAGAAATATTGCAGAGCAGTTCATAGCTGGGGTCAGCTCACAGCAGAAGTTACTGAGGAAAAAAGCAGCTCACCTGTTTGCTGAGCTTTGCCCTCTGACCCTGCTGTGTTTTTGTGGCTCACCAGTTCCTTGGCAGGGTTTACATTTAAAATTGAATGTATAGTGTGTGTTTTCCTTAATAAAATCAGGATGGAATTTACTGCCCTGGTATGTATTTCCAACCTTTAGCCCCTTCTTCAGCTTCAGAGAGGGGTGTGTGATTAAAACTTGGTTATGTGACTCTGAGAAAACAAATCAGAATTAAGAAAATGCAGTGCACTAATTAGAAGAGAAAACACCTAATCAAGTGTGTTTTTCTAGTGCTACCAGAAATAAAATTTCAAAGCATCCAGTGTGCTTAATGATTAGATCTCTTRTGGGATATGTTCAAGCCAAAATCCACTCAAGAACGAAACAAAAAGAGGATGATTACCTACATTTTCTCCTTCAGATTTTTTTGTAAATAAAAGTACAGSTTTCTTGCCCAATATACAGAATCAGAACTCATACTCAGTTTCCATTTTTTCCTGATGCTGTCTCTGAAATTGTTTCGCTATTTTCAGCCCAAGTCAATCTCCAAGCTCCTTCTACAGACAAGTAGAAAATCAATCGAACAACTCGACTGCATTGTTCCAAGTTTTTGTACCTGAGATACAACACAATAATGGGATCTAAAGACAGACTGAGGAGTGCTGCCATGATCAAAGGGCTTTGTTTAGGCCAATCTTTTTTTTCCCAGGGAGACTCAGAGCTCCTGTTTCTTGTGGTGCAGCAGCTCAGTGCACAGAGGTAAGAAAATGAGAAATAGAAACTAGTGGGAGTAATTTTTGACAGAAAAAAATCCTTAAAAAACCCTTTTAAATGGGCTTTGCATCTTTAGGAGAAGGTTTTATCCCTATCGAACTAAGAATATTTCACAAGAGTACTCTGATTTTATTGCCACAGGCTGGTGTAAGGATGTTTCTGTAATCCACAAAGATGTGTCCCAGAGGTACCCAAGGCTCACCTGAGCTGGACATGGAGCTCTTGGCTCCACACTCAGGTGGGTGAWGCCAATTTTAGCTGCCCCAGGCAGAGCATTCACAGGTGCACAGGAACTGCAATTTCATAAAGTATTGAGACTTTCAGCTCTCAGAGTTAGTTCTCTTTTTGGAAAGAACATTAATTTCTTCTTGCAGCATTCATGTCTCTCTACCTTGCCAGCAGAGGCCTGGGAGAGTTCTCTCACAGAATTGTGATGGAATGGTTTGGGATGGAAAGGACATTAAAGATCATCCACTTACACCCCCTGCTATGGACAGGGACACCTTCCACTGACCCAGGATGCTCCAAGCCCTGTCCAACCTGGCCTTGGACACTGCCAGGGATCCAGGGGCAGCCACAGCTTCTCTGGGCATCCTGTGCCAGGGCCTCCCCACCCTCATAGGGAAGATTTTCTCCCCAATATCCCACCTAAACCTGCCCTCTATYCATGGGGAGCCATTCCCCCTTGCCCCATCAGGCCCACACCCTGTCCTATACATTCTTCCAGAAAACATCTGTGCAGCTCCATTTCCATTCTTCATTAGTTCAAATCCACCTCATGAGCAATGACTGAAAGAGGTCACAGAGTCATCCTAATTTTGAAATCTTTGTGTTTTTCACTCATGGTGACCACCTCTCACTGGAGGGAAGAGGCAGGCAGCACTTTGTCCCTGTCTGTGCTGAGGCAGAGACACAATCACACCCGAGGGCRGTGACGCTTCACTGTGCTGTCCCTGAGCACGTTGCAAATGTCAAATTTCTGTGCTCTTCACCCAGAACTTTCCACAGCACCCTTGGAAGGGTCAGTGACTCCAATAACAGCAAGTGATACTTCAATCATCACACACAATTCAAGTTTATCCACATGAGGATCAAAAGATGAGCCAGTCAAGTGGCTTTAAGCCACTGTGAGGTTATGTGTTTTAATTAGAGACACTCCAAAAGTGAACTGACAGTTCAAATTAAAAAAAAAAAAAAAAGCAGAGAGGGGGTGAAGATTTAAGGAATCAGGAGTCTGATCTAACAGGAGCTTTCGATTTGCCCTTCAGGTTTTTGTTTCCCTTCCCCAGCAGTGCTTTTTGAGGGGAATAATCCTAAAGTGTGGGGAGGAAGGGCTTGTCCTTCCGCTACTCCTCTAAATTCTGTCAGCTGCTTTCCACGCTGCACTTCAGTCACTGCTGATACCTCATTAGTGTTTTAATTAGAGCAGGACAGGGTAGGAAGGTTCAATTCAGTGTCAGGTCTGGGCTGCTCAGTCACTGCCCACTTTAGAGGGGTCTCAAGGCTGCTCCAGATTAGAGGCAGAGACAATGACTGCACAGAAAGAGGCAGCCCACACCTGCACCTCTGCTTTATTGGTCTCTTTGAGGTCTTTAAATATTTGAAGTGCTGCTCTGGGGAGAAAAAGGCTATTTTCATGACTCTAAGCTACCTGTGGTATCTGTCAGAGATGCTACCCAAGGGTTTGARAGATCCTGGGGTTAAAGGGGTTATGGTAAATTAACAGTCACAGATTTTTAGGCAATGATGTGAAACCCAAACGCTCTGAGTACCACAAATCTCCCACCTTGTGTTGTCTAAATAGGATTTATTTGTGAGTCTCTGTATCAGTGAGTCAGTTTACTCTGAGGCTGTTTGTAGTTTTGTGACGGCTCCCTCAGCAACACAGATGATCTTGTGTGTATCACACCAGCTGCTATTTCTCTCCTTAGGGAACAAAGAATTTTTCCATTAAAATATCCTCCTATTATGGTGGGTTTTCTTCTCTTTGCAGGTGCACACGACATGATCCCTTTGCTGTATCTTAACAATTAACACAGAAATGATCTCTCCTGCTCTGAGGACACACCCTCAGAGACGCTGTGGCTTCCTGGCCAACACAGGAACTTTTTTCCTGCTCAATCCCATGAACAGGGCACTGACAGGGGGGAACATGAGGCTTCTCAGCCTCGAGAGAGCTGCCAGTGGTGCCTGTTCTGAAGCATTTGCATCTTCTCCGTGGGGATTAGGGTGACCCAAGGGACAGCTACAGTGAGTCTTGGTTCTCTGAGAGAGGGGAACCCTCTGAGCCCTGGGAATTCTCTGCTGGCACATCTGCCTGGAAGAGCAGAACCATTTTTTTTCAGCTTTGTCCTTACTAATAGCTAACTAATACTTTCCATCCACACCCAGGGTTTTTTTTTTTTTTTTTAAATTTTGTTTTTGGTRGGAAAACACTGCTGCACCTCAGGTGAAGGCTCAAAACGGGTTATGAATTTGCTTCCTTCTCCTTCTGCCTACTCGTGGTTGGCACAGGAGATGGAGTGTTGGGTAAACAGATAAACAGCCTGGTAAGCGTGGGCAGCACTGGGAAGGAAATTTACAACAGGAAATCTAAAAACAAACACACAGCAATGGTGGGGATGTAAAAAATGGAGATGGCTGTGCAAGGAGATGCAGTTCCTGACTATGATTATYGCATTTTTCTAAATAATATGTGTAACAGGATTGCTGTAGCTGTGGATGAGCAGATACTGCAATTCAACCCCTGGTTTTGAAGATTTTTCCTTCCCACATCTCAAAACGTTGCACAAACAGCACAGACAGCAGAGGGAGAAGGAAAGAAWGGCCCAAAACCAAGGAAACAGCCCAACCAAATCTCTTAAATTCTTGCAGTGTTATCAACTGTAGTCACTTCAGAGAACACCTGAAGATGTTCGGCCTTGTTCATGTTCTATTTTACATAAAAGCAGATGTGGAACATCACAGGTCAAATTTGCTGTCRGTGGGAGGTGGCAGTGTCCTCCCACCCACACAAACACTCACCAGGAGAACAAGAATCACTGGCCCTTGATAGATGTAGTCAATGTATTTCCCCGGCTCYTTTCCAAACCAGCACCTGTAGAAAAAAAAAACCAAAAACAAATARRAGAACAATCTRAAAAGGTAAATTCACTTCTTTTAGACGGAAGGGTAGTACAGAGAGGTGTTCCTTTATTCAGTGCACTGTCTAATTATATACAAATAATCAGCAAGTAATTGAGTTTTTAGCTGCAAATCACCTGTTGTTGGACCCAGAACTGAGCCCCACTTCCCCTGTCATTAGAACATTCATATTCCCTCTGATTTTGGCTATTGCCCATGTAAATATTTCCAAGAAACGTGAGAACCTGTTATAAGGAGGATGCAGATGTCTGAGAAAGGGAATAAAAAATATATTCTGCGTAATAGAAAAAAACCCTAATTATCCATTGCAGCGCCCAGAGACACACTGCACAAAGGGTCATTACTTAAAGCAAATGTCTCAAGTAGCATGGAAATGCTGTCTAAATAAAACACTGAATCAATGAGGAATCACCTCACTGTCTTGGACTGAATTTGGGGAGCACTGGGGACTCCAGTGGTGGAGTCACCATCCCTGGGAGGGCTCAAAACCATGCAGATGTGGCACTTGGGGASATGGGTGAGTGGAGGACCTGGCAGTGCTGGCTGAGTGGCTGGGCTCTGTGATTTGAGAGCTCTTTTCAAATCTTAATGATTCTGTGGCCACCAAAGCCAGCAAACGGAACAGAGCCATCATTTGAATGCACCAAATTCCTGCTCCAACATCACCTTCCAARAGTGCCTGGGACAACCCAAATGGACTGGGAAAGGGATTCAGGTGAAGTGAAAACACAGATTTCTGAGATTTCACAGATTTTCACAGATTTCAGAAAACTGAGTGTCCTCAGACCAGCAGAGAGCCTGGATGTGTCACATGTGACCAAGTGCTGCCTTGATTTTCGCTCCCATTAATTCCAAGAGTTTTTCTCCCTGCTGTGTTACACAACAGACTGACCCTGGGATTTCATAGCAACCCACATCGACACTCACTTCATCCTCTTCACTGGGAATAATAAATCTGTAATGTTTGTGTTGGTAAATGAACGAGAAACTGGGCTCCAGTCTGAASTCACACCGTTACATTTTCCTTGGGATAGTTTTGGGTTTTGGTCCAGGCCAAAAAMTATTGTTTTTTTCTTAAACCAAATCCAAAACTATTCCTGGGGAACAAATTTGGAGCTGGTAGGAGCCAGAGGACATTCCCAATAGTCCACAAATTGCAGCTCCCTGATTTTGGAGGCCAAGAAGGTTTAATAATTCGAGTGTGAATTATTCCATGCTATTTGGAAGTTGAGCCTCAGGAATTCATCCAGGCTCAGCTAATTCAGTATTACAGATCCAGCCACRGGGTCTGGATCCAGGATTCCACCAAGCAAACAAAACTTTGCATTCATAATTCCTTAAGGTTTAGATCACTGGAGCTCCAGATCCCTTAGGAAGGAGATTTTGGAGTTCAAGGGTCTAAGAGTTTTCTTCCCTGTCATGGATACCTTATAACAAGTCTACACAGCCAAAGTTATGCCTTCCCCAGAAAGAGATAATTTGGTGCCACTGGAGACATGGAAAAGGGTAATTCCTGAGCCATGGAGCAAGATTTGCACTTTTACAAGCAGCAAAATGTGATAGATGTTGCCTCCAAGAGGCTGMAGTCTGTAAGACACAACCTCACGAGTCCAGGGGACAAGGACTGGGATTAGGAAAATTCTGGTTCAGATGGGATTCTTTTGGATCACATCACACCCTCAAAGCCTCCCTCCAAAATATGTTGTTTGCTAAAACAAGAGGAGCTGGTTGCCCATTTCAAGATGCTCTCAGTGGACAGGAGAGTGGACAAACGCAGCTGGAATCAGAAGCACAGTCCAGTACCACACAATTATTTGCCTTTTCTTGCCTCAATTCCTGCATCCTTCAAGTTCCAAATGAATGAGAGTGTTTTAGAAATGTGAAGGATGTCTGCTGTTCCCTGGTGCACTGGCTGCAAATTAGGGTAAATCGATAATTTTGCAACTCATCTTCCAAAATTTGGGCATGAGAGCAGGACTTGGAATAAGGTACCTCCTCCAGCCCAATTATCATCCCAGAAGAATCCCCAGGGCAGCCTTAAATGAATGAAACTGGGTTTTTGAATTTTATTTTTTTGAATGTAGCTGGAAAGATATGAAATAAAATAATCACAAGAAATGTCAGGGCAGGCAACAAATTTCTCCAGAACCTGCAAGACCTACATTTGAGAGAATATTTTGAAGGGTATTTTGGGAGAACTGTGTTTTATTGCCTGAAACTCAGAGAACTAAGAAAAGCAAGAGTTCCTAGGAAGCTGGCTGCTCTAGCAGAGGGACTAATAAGAAGCAGACTGAGGCAWGAGGCAGAACCTGGTGTGGGCTAGAAAAAGTAAAAAAATAATTTGGAACAGAGCTGGTAGAGCACAAATKAGGTTCCAGGGCAAAGGCTGCTCACTGTTGTTTGGAATTTAAATGTTGCTTAGCTGGAGGACTAAAATGCTGATATTTATGATCTCAAGTCCAGTATTTGACCAAGGTTGTGCTGAGTGAAGAATTAATGTGGATTTAATTCCACACACTCTGAGGAAACAAGGCCGTGGCCAAAAACAGACTCCACAACAAAGGATTCTCCAGGGGAGTTGGTGCTCCAGGTTCCTTTTGTAGGCAGTAAAGATAAAAAAAAAACCAAACCAACAGCTTTTTTAGGTCTGTGTTCATCTCATTAAGCTGTGAACCTGATATGTTACACTGTAATCTAAATATTTCTAATTAAATCGGCTAAGTAACGCTGAGAGGAGACAGTTATTGGCCACAGACATTATAAATGTCTGCATTTGATTAGCAATATTTCATATTTAGAGTCCAACTGTTCAAACTGGGACCTTTAGCTGAGATATTGCAAACTGTTCTGCCRATCATCTGAAGTCTTACTTTAAATYCAGCACAARCCATTGTTTCTGCAATAAAATAATTTCTTTAAAACCAAAAAGAGAAATCTAAATCACTGACAATTACTTGGTGCAACTGTGTGAAATAAAAGCCATTTAGCTACTTTTTATTCTTTTTTTTTCACCTCTGGAAGAATAAACAAAACACTCCCTGAATACTGAAGAGGACAATTTAGGAAGACAGTAGTGATAAGACTCAGATATGTAAATACATTTCTATTGAATAGCACTACTTAGTATTCTTCAGGGTTCTCTGATAGTTCTTTATATAACCAAACCCACCACTGGTTTTAACACWATTGTTAATCAGATCTTACTAATGTTCTTCCCTTAACAACTGCCCATCAGTGAAATTACTGCAATAGCTCTTAATAATTTGTGTGGGGCTTTTAAAATTGTGGTTTAACAGTACTTTTCCGGTTTTGTTTTTGGTTTTTTTTTTTTTTTTTTGAGTTGCTATATTTTGGTGAAGAACTGATAAACCCCAGACAGGATATTTGCCACAGTACCAATTAGAGCTGCCTCACTGTGCTGAAAATGATCTTTATTAAGTAGAAAGATTCAAAAGTTAGGAAGGTGGTTGAAGCATTTGGTAACATTCTTTCTGTGTGCTATTTTGAGCTTTTAAACCACGATGAGCTGCACAACCTGAACCCCAACTCAACCTCCAAACAACTTAAATGGATACTCAGATGAAGAAAGAGGAGTTTGATGTTTTTGCTGAATTTTGGGCTGCCCCAAACAATCTTGGAAGCTGCAGGCAAGTTCATGTTTGCTGCCTGTGGGAAGTTGGCTGGGTCTGACCTCATGGGAGCAGCACAACATTCCCCAATGGTCAGGACAAATGGACAAAAGCTCTGGCAAGGAGCAAAGTCAGGACCCAGAGCTGTAGAAGAGGAACTTCCCTTATTTACAAGGTTTAGTGGATGGGATCCCCCTGGGAAACCGTGAGGAACTGATCAGACCTGGCAGTTCTTTAAGGACATTTTTCTTAGAGAACAAGAGCTCTCCAATCCCATGTGTAGGAAATCAGGCAGCAAAGGCAGGGAATGGGCATGGCTGAGCATCCAGCTCCTCAGACGCAGTAAGAAGGGAATGCACAGCCAGTGGAAGCAGGAATATGTGACCTGGGATATGTTTTGGATGTGTGTTCATTCCCTAATTTATTCAGAGAGCCCMACAAACACAAATGTGAACATCACTTACTGTTCGTTTTCATAATACAGCTTGCCAATGGCCCAGGCAATGATGATTGGACAGGGAATACCTACAGGAGCAAAAGGAAAACCAGGAGTTAATCATGGATGGATGGATGGATGGATGCATCCATGGTACCAAAATAAATTCAGATTYGTGTGAGAAGAGTCTTAGTTAATGAACTGTGAGACTCTAAATACAAGTGGTCCTATCTTGGCCTGCTTAAGACATCACAATTGCTAAGATATTTTAATTTAAAAATTAAAAAGAAAGATAATCTCAACAAAATTATAGTACCAGTAAGAAAAGTTCGTAAAATATTAACAAACACACACATATATACTTATATTTCCATAGAAGTGACCAGAACAATTTTGGATGCTTTAAAGACAATTTTGGTCCTTTTTCATTTTCCTGCAGCTGATACAGCAAAATCTTAAAGGACAGTACTTGRAGGTGGATGTTTAGGTTTTTATTTCCTATGCTTGCAAACTTATTGGGATAGTTGGATAAAGCACATTTTCAAAACTTCCAAAAATTTTTTTTAGTTCAGTCTTCCSTGTAAAACAGGGTTATGAGAAAGAATATTTTAAGATCCTTTCTGAAGGATCCAGCTACTTTTAACTTTACAGCCACTGCTGCACTCCCTAACAGGTGTTTGTGTCAGACCTTCCAAACCACCTGCTTTGAAGGGGATTTTCTGGAGGGGAACTTGGAAGGAAGGAAGAGTAAAYGGAACTTTTTGACTCAGAATCAGACAAGGACTCAGACTGATGTCAAAGTTAGAAGGGGAGAGTTTTCCCTCTCCATTCCCCCTTCAACATCTCACCTCAGGAAAACCCAAACAAGTCCAGCCTCAGCAGCTCCATCCCTGATCCCAAATTCCAGGTTCACACCCTTCTGAAATCACTGCTGCTCTCTGGACAGAGCCCARATCCAGTGACTCTCACAGGTATCTGCTGCTGCCCCAGTGGGAGTAATGGGACTTAAACCCTCCTGGAGGAGCAGAGATGGATTTATCCTAACACAGCCTTTTAACCTTCCAATTGCTGCCTCTGCTGTGGGAAATCAAGGATTTAAAGAGAAGGAAAGACACAGAAGGGACAGGACTGAGCTGCTGAGGGGTCATCTTTACCCTCAGCAAGGAGCAGAGCAGTTCTGATCCCCTGCCCCATCATCCCTGGTGGTTCCTGTGCCCTTCAGTTGATTGTGCTGCCTCTCATCCCATTCACCACTCACTCAAAGGGTCTGGTGCACTCATTTCCCCAAGTTCCTGTGAGGAATGGACAGAGAAAATGGAGCCATGTCCTTTCTCCCGAAGGAAAATACTTAACTTTTGCTTGTGAAGTGAAGAGCAGGGATTGGAGAATGAGACTGGTAAAAAAAATGTGTATGGGGAGGCAGAGCAGAGCCAGAAAGCAGCCAAAGGTGGGTGGGAAGGTGCATTCAGCTCACACCACTCCTGCATCAGCAGTGAGAGACACAGAGGGCTCTGACACAGGTAGGGAGGGAAAATGCCAGGGATCAAACTGGTCTGAGGCTCTGTGAGAGCTCCTAAGCCGCTGATTTTCCAGTTTCCAGAGAGAATTGAAAAATATTAGGGAAAAAATTCAATCAATTCCTCCCCTAAACATTTTCTTTCTACTGTAACTCCTCTCCYTTCCCATTTGATTTTGGTTTGAATGGCACATTTTTGTGTCAAAGGCTGTTGCTGCCTTCAGAACTGCAATTCAATTACTTCTGCAGAGAGGGAGAGGCATTTCTGAACAAAATGTCATTCTGCTTTCACAAAAGAAAATACTGGTGGCTTTTTTCCACCTTTATTCCTTCGACAGAAAATAACTGCCAGATTCACCAGCTCTGTTTTGTCCTCAGATTTTCAATCCAGTGAACAAGATGCCTGCATGGGGCTGGTCCTGCCAAACATCTCCTGGYCAATTTCAAAGTGTGGAGGTGTTGGGAAGATCTTTGAAGGTGTTTGCCCCAATTTCATGCTCTGAGCAGAACTATYAACACTCATTCAGCTCAGCCAGGGCTCAGCCTGGCTCAATTTTCAATATCCCCAAAGGCAGAGGTTTCACAGTTTTTAGGTCACACATACCAGTGTTGCACCACCTCCTGGTAATTTTATTTTCTTACATGCAACTGGAACCTCCAAGCCTGCAGTTTGTGGAATTTATCCCTTCCTCAGTATCTGCTATTACCAGGAASAATCTGGCTCCATCACCTCTGTAAATACCTTTCAAACCTTTCCTGGTTCCAAACAGATCCCTCCTCACCTTCCCCCTCTCCAGTTCACAGAAGCTCAGCTCCTCCAGCCTCACATCACAGCTCRTGTGCTCCAGTGTAGATCCCTGATCACATTCTCAGCCTTCTGCTGGACAATCTCCAGTTTCTCCACAGCCCTTTCTGACCTCAGAGACCACAACTGCCCACAGCATCCCAAAGGCAGCTTTACCACAGCTGAGCCTTCGAGCAGCCCCAAGGACAGCACAGAGATGATGTGTGACTCTTGGTTAAAGGCTGTTTTCTAGGAACAAATCCCTCAGCAGTCCAAAAGACAGCTGTAAAGCTGGGCTGGCAAATAATTAAGTTTTTTTTTTTTCAAGTCGGCTCCTCACTTAGAAGTGCTGCCCAGACTGARTGGCCCTGATTTCACCCCAGTGGGATTTGTGATATTTATTCTTGCCACTCTCATCTTTAACACTTTAATGCCAGGTACCCCAGAACACCATTTGAACCACAGAGGGCACTTACACCATCCTATGAAGAGAAAAACCCATTTCCTCAGTTTATCTGTGGAGTAGGTCATCACKATAGCGGTGTGTAAGTAGCAGCCTTCCACAAACATCCAGAAAAAGTTGGTCACCACGAAATAATTGTAGACAGTGGTGATACATCGACACCAGGGCTGGAAAGGAAACAGAAGAGAATATTTTAAAATCACGGTGAGAACACTTCAGAGAGTCTGTATGGTGTTATTYCCTTAAAAAATCAGTGTTAGAATTCATTCACGTGATGCAGATTTATCCTGTGACGTGGAATCACAATTTTAGGTGTTGACAGGAATTCACAGCTGCATCTGTGACCTTCTGCTGAGGCTGCCTTTGACCACAACAGGCAGRATCTCCTGTATCTAAACCTCTCTGSAAAAATAAGGAGCCAGAACTCCAAGAGGAGCAGGTCACTTGGCCACAGATCATCTGTGTCCATGTCACAGTCTTGCTTCATTTCTGCTGAGGGGAGGAAGCACCACTGATATTTTGAAAAAAAATATTTGAAAGGCATGATTTTATCAGCCACTTCATTCCCTCATTCCTACCATGGGTGCTCCATTCTGTAAGTTACACCATGCCACAGGTCACCTCCTAATTTTGTCACAACCTGAACAGGAATTTTTGGTGTATCAGGAAAGCCCAGCCCTAATTACTTATGCTCACTGCTATCACTGATTTTGGTAATTTTGGTCTCCCCATTCTCCAGCCTTTTAATTAAATCTGCAGAAGTGTTTGCAACTTTCACCCTCTGTTAATTTTATTTTAGCCTTCATTTGCATGAGATAGCGATGGTCTACAGGCAGYCAACAGAGCAGCAGATGCACAGTAAAATTCTAAGGACTGATGYACCACCAAACCCTGTAAAATTCTGAGGATTAAGAATTTATTGGGCAAGAAACACAGTTACAAAATGACAGCTCATCCACTAGTTGTGATCACTTCTGTTTATTGAATGGAAATAAAAAGAAGCAATCTTTTGGATGTGTTCAAGCTTTCATTTCTGTATAATTTCATTAATGTTTGAAATTTAGTTTGGCTTCACTCTTAAAATAGGATTACAAGCCAAAACATTGCAGTAGAAGATGAAAATTTTGTTTAAACTAAATTAAGGTCCCTTCCCTTCCCTTCCCTTCCCTTCCCTTCCCTTCCCTTCCCTTCCCTTCCCTTCCCTTCCCTTCCTCTTCCCTCTTCCCTCTTCCCTCTTCCCTCTTCCCTCTTCCCTCTTCCCTCTTCCCTCTTCCCTCTTCCCTTTCTCTCCAATTTTTACAGGAATTGTAAAAAACCCCTATATCCAAGTCAATTTTTCCTATGTCAGAACTGAGAGGAACTGGCCTATGGACTGGAAAGATTCTGGGGCAGATACAAATAATGGTGGTAAGATCTCCCCCTGCATGATTTTCATAGGAGACCAGAATAAAATTAATTTTGAGCAAGTCCTTTCTGGATTTATCACTATTGAGTAATAAACCAGATTTGCAGAACTCAGTAATTCCCACCTTTCTGTTTATTTGACTGAGGATTCTTGATGCCCACATTTACCCACCATTAAGCTACAGATAYCCCCACCAATTCCACTTCTTGATTTTTTTTTTTTTTGGTAAGCATTATAAAATTCATGCAAAATATTTCCAATCGAGTCCTTGATGCTTCTGTATTTGTGTTATTTCATCTCCACTGATCAGCACAGAAGAGATCATATCAACAGYCAGAATAAATGATGTTGTTCCCATTCAATTTGGGGGTGTTATTTTGAGTACCTTATCCTACAGTCACGTAACAAAGTTATCACTGAGCTTGTASAAAGCACCTTTCCCAAAAAGGCTGCAGTGCTCAGCAGAGAAAAGATGAGTTAATGAAAACTGGGGCTTGTGATGATCTGTCCTTAGATTTGCTGATATTTTCAYTGTCACTTTGTGCTCACATTCTGAAAGGTATTTGAGTGCCTGTCTCCAACAGATTATTCCAAAGTAACTGTAAAAATCTTAAAGATTTGCAGCAGTCACGAGAGCAAGTCACACAGAGTGAAACTGTTGGTAATAAAGCTCACAAAGCCCCATCTTCTGGAGTGTGAGAATACCAGAAACACAGAGCAAACACTGAATTAACAGAATCTACATTTTCTCAAAGGAGTGTCTGGATGAATAATAAAAGAGATTTATGCACGGACATCTTCTTTATCGGGGCACTAATGATTTCTCTACTTGTTTTCCCAAAGCATGGGACTGAAGTTCAGATGTCAGCTCTTACATTTGAAAAATCAATCAAGGCTGATGAGTGCCCAGGTGACATGGGAATGAAGGGATGAATGGAAGTCACCCTGAGCATGTGGATAAGTGTCCCTTGCAAAATTCACAAACTRCAGGGCAGGGTCACCTTCCAGCACTCACCTCGTTGCTCTCGTGGATGTTGTGATCTATCATTTGGAGCAGAAACCACATCACGTTCCTCAGGATGAATGTGGTGATCAAGTTCCAGTGGATGATATTCCGCAGACATCTGATGCTCCTGAGCAGGGAAACACATCTCAGTTAACAGACACAGTGAATATTAACACACACACATTATTAACTGTATAAAAAAACCAACCTAATTCTGTTCATTGCCTGGTTAATCCCCCTGCAATCCCTCTCTTGCTCTACGAAACAGGAGGTTTCTGTTTTTGCAAACTCGTGTACAACAATTGGTCTCGGTAACACAAGGAGCTCCCTCTGACAAGAATCAATTCAAGAAGCAAGTGAAACAGGATCTACTCAAACAAAAACGAAAATCCAATATTCCAACTGTCATTTCATCCTTGGTTATTAGTTTTACTGCCCTCCCCTCCATCCCTAGATGGACTGCAATTGATAGAAAAGCCTATGAACAAGCAGGCTGCCCTGGAGGTTGCTGAACTGCTCACAGAAGGAGATTTAGTGACAAATATTTGTGCTGGAACAGTTTACATTTGGTTAGTTCTTGAACAGGCTCACCAGTGTGAGTCTGAATTAATGCAACAGGAGAGCATGAACTGCCTGCTTTTCACTGCTGGGCTTAGCGGGCTGTACTTRAACAAGGCACAAATGTACATCCTCCTTCATCAGGAAATATTTGTGTCTGCTTTCAGGCCCCCATTCAGATGCAATGTAAAATATGAGCTACAGTAAGCTTGGACACAGTGCCACAAAACAAAAGAGGGCACATCTGAAATATATTTGCTGCTGGAAAYGGCTCCAGGAGGCAGCCAGTGCAGGATACTGATGCCAGGAACCAAAGCATCACTGAAGGAAGACAGAGTTACTTGTGACAGGTTCAGTCATTAAGATCAGAACATTTCTCTTCTGATTCTTTGTTAATTGGTGAAGGATGGCAAGTGCCAAATTGCAGCACTGCAGTTACAGAGTCTTCAATTAAATGATCTTTTCTCAGCTAAACACAAACTGCTCCATTTGTGAAAATCACTTCCACAGGGGTTCAAACAGCCAGAGCACTTCCTGGGATTCAGCATTGGCCACATCAGGCTCCGTGCTTGCCAGGGGAGCTGTCAGATAATGTGGGCTCAACACAGAAAGTGGTTTGAGCCACTGGAACTGACAGAGCTCACCCCAGAGACAGCAAGAAGAGAGGCACAATCCAGTAGCCAACCTTTGTTGCCTCAGGTCTTTTGCACGGCAAACAAGTCACTCCTCTTAGCAACAAACACTGCTTTCCTACCATAAAACACTCACTGAGCTTTTCCTAGGACTGAATTAGTCAGTCTTAGGGCCAGAAGCAATTCTGTTCTGTCCTTCAGTCTCATAAATCTCTGAGATTTCAAATGATCCAGCAAAAAAACAAACGGAAGACCTCCCACACATGAGGCATTTAGAGATGCTCAGAGGTATAACCCTGTTAAGCCAATGTTAAAATATCCTCTGAGTTTAATAACTCAGGCTGCCAGAATGAAATTGGTGTTTGGTTCTGAGAGCCTCAGTGACTCATGATGAGTTAATTTGGAAAACAAATCTCCAGCTGYTCAGACCCTTTCTCTTTTATTTAAGCTACAAACCCCCAAACRCTGCTCTTGGACATGTCAGACACATCTCGGTTTGAGAATTTCACTGCTAACAAAAGGCTGACGTTCAGGGTTTGGCTTTCAAAGCAAAGAGGCAACCAAGCTGAGCCCCAGGATGGGGAAGAGCTTGGGCCAGGCTTTGAAACATCCTGCTAAGGTCTGYCTTCTGTTGACCATCCTGCACATARATGTCCTGCAGCTGCTCTTCACCTGCATCCTWTATTCACTCCCTCCAGGTCAAGCACTAGCTGATGAAGGGACGAGTTTGAAATGTTGCTTCAAGGGTGAGAGGAAGGCAGGGGACTAAAACAAGGAAATTCAGGTCAAGCTGTTGAGTTATTGAGATGAAATTAATTGCTTTTGAGAGCTCTAACAACAAAACAGATCCAGCACGCTTGCCACCTGAATGTATTTCTTGACAAAGATAAAGGAGTCAGGGGAAAAAAATCCTTGCTGTAGGCATCCATTTAGATGTAATTTAATCATCCCATATGATGGAACATCACTGAATCTGGCTAGGGGAAATCTTACTGCAGATTTACAGCAGGACATTGGAGTGGACACAGAGGCAAACAGGATCAAATAAATAGTTRCAGACTTTTCAGTTCATAAACAGAGTTCTTCCCCCAAGGAGGATCCCAGTCACAAAACCACATTGTCTTCTTTGTCTTACAACAAACTCAGTGGACTTGATGATCTCAAAGGTCTTTTCCAACCTYAGCAATCCTATGATTCTATGTTTTTATCTACTGCCTACATGATCTTCACCCTCCTTACTACTTCTTGGTTCCCAGGTTTTTATTCTTTGCCCATCACTCTGTACCCTTCAGACTTTTTGTGATGTCTGTGCAGGACCCAGGGTAGGAGGGTCTGGTCTGTGGTGGGAACCCCAATGTGTACAGATGATCAACACACCCCTTGTTTTCAAAAAGCCCCACTGACTGAGGGAAGGGGTGCTCCTGGTGTAAAATTAAGTATAAATGTGGCCAGCAGCTGGAATTCACCAAAACGAAGCCTGAAGTTTTGATTTGGAAATTAAAGAGGGACAGTTGSCTCCCCTGACCCACTGCCTTTAGCAAAAGCCATCTTCTGTACCATATTTTGGGTACCAGTAACTCACRCCATTGCCTCATTCCCTTCTGGAGACACTCCTTGCCTGGCTTGAATGGTAAGCAGATACTCTCACCTGCTAAAAGCTCCCTCTCTTTGCAGCTAAAAGAGCTGTGAAATATAATCTGAGATATCTCAAAGTGCCACAGGCTTTCTTAAATAGCTCAGCAGTGATGTGACATGGTTCTGACCTCTTCTTTTTTTTTTTTTTTTTTTTTTTTTTTTTTTTTTTTTTTTTTTTTTTTTTTTTTTTTTTTTTTTTTTTTTTTTTTTTTTTTTTTTTTTTTTTTTTTTTTTTTTTTTTNTGGTTTTTGGTTTTTTCTCTTCCATTTTCTTGTAATAGGAGTCCCAACTGGAGGCTGAAAGTTTGGTTTTGTTCACAGAGAGCCCAGAGCCCGTGGTTCTGTCCTCTAACTACACCAGCACAGAAACCACAGCAGCAGYAMTGCAATTCACARATGAGGGCAGGGAAAGCTTGAGAAATAACTGTGTCAGGTTTGGAGAGGGAAGGGAAAACAGAGGGATCACAAAGTGTGTGGAGGCTGCAGGGCACAGCAGTGCAGGGCTGCAGCTGATGAGAACAGGGAACAGGCTCTTGGCAGCCACCTGAGAACACTGCTCTCATTTTCAGGCACTGGATGGGTGGAATTATTGTAATTTGTGTAAAGCATCTGGAGGGATTTTGGSGTAAGGGTCTTCTCATCCCAGGCTTCATTCACATGAGGCTGCTCTGCTGGGCTCAGGGCTCACCCTGTGCACAGAATTCACCTCTTCAGCCAGGCTGGAGTCTGAGGAGGGCAGGGAACGAAGGACATTGCCCAAACAGGGCAACAAAACTGATGAACGATGGGAGACCTGCACCACAGCTAATGTTTGCTGAAAGGACAAAGATGGCCTTGTCATGCTCATTCATCTCAAAGCCTGAAGGGAAAAAGTACCCTCAGAATACTCACAGCAATCATTTGTCCTCCACAGGTCTTTCCCTGGCTCTGGGTAGACAGAYGGTAGAGTAAATTTGTAAGCCTTAATTTAAATTTAAATACTCCTGTTATTCATGAAAATTACCAGTCCCATTTTGAAAACTAAACAGTCATATCAGTCTTCTACGACAATGAGCCCCACATTTCATTCCTCCTTGATTAATAGTTGGCTTTCCTCTGTGGAGTGGAAAAGTCACCAAGCCTGTGCTCCAGGAGCAGCAATAACTGCCCTCCCAAGCAGAAAAAGAAAACAAATTCTCACCATGCTGCAACTGGCAGGAGGCGGAATTTAAAACATTCAGCTGTGTTATGAGTAAGTGAATGGAGCTTTCTTGGAGCCACGGTGGCATGAATGAATTCCCTCAAAAAGCAGAAGCTCAGGAATTTGGGGTTGTTCTTATCTGAGGAGGGAAGTGATCACAACTTGGGGGTGGTGGCAGTGGCAACATGAAGGAAATGAGGGTGCAGAGTGCAGACAGTTGCCTTTCAACAGGCAAAGAGTAACATGAGAGAGGGGAGAAATGGTAGATGAGAGGATGGGGCGCTGAATTGCTGCTTCAGAGACAATTCCAGCACTGCTGGGAAGGGACTGTGACTTACAGAGCCATTCAGAGTCACCTAACCCAAAGGATCCRATGACAGAAGGTTTCACATTCCTCTTCATGTCAACTAACATCGTTTCTGCCACTTGCACTTGTTTTAYGAGCCCTGATGAGTGCTGAATGGTGCCAGAATCCACGAGCAGCAGCACAAATCCCCATCCCACAGATTCTGAGGGCTGGCACATCACAAGACACCACAGACTGAGGCTGTGGGCTTCTATTAAAGAGGAATTCATGATCTCCTCTATTTCCTGCCTGCTCTAACCCCTTTCAGACAAAAAAAAAGCAAACTGGCCAAGGCTTTGGCTGGAGATTTCCACTAGCCCGTCCCTGATTCAGGCGTCTGAGGATGGATGGAATAAAGAGAGAAGTTGTAGAAATTCAGTCACCACAGACTTAAAGATTGAGGCCAGAACACAAAGACATATGAATTTCCACATTCACTCAGATCAGTGTGGCATTCAGGCTGGGACTCAGTMCCTGTGGAGATCAGTAAAAATTAATTAAGGAAAGAGTTTGAGAAAGAGGGGAACTGTACTCTTAAGTTATTCCTTACTCTTACCTCCTTGCTTCTGGCAGTCAGAAGATATTCCTGACTCAGAGACCACATTTAAAAGCATTAAATGACCTCGCTGGTGGCCCCAATTCCTCACAGGAGTCACTGGACTCTTTTTTATGTAGTTCACGTTCACCGGGGTCAGGCCATGAATTCCTGCACCAACAAGATGGACTGACGAGCTCATAACCTGTCATTCCCAGTAAAACACCTCTGTCTGGGTTCCT